CTCTTCTTCTTTTTTTTTTTTTCTTTTTCCGGAAAATTTCACTCGAATGATCGATCGACCGCGGATGCTCGGTGCAGCTTTTAATCGATCATTAGCGCACTGCGAAGCTTTTTGAAAAATTTAGGTCCACTGCGAAGAGAAGCAATTTTTCTCAGCTTCAAGCATATTTAAACAAAATAATAAATTGATTAATTCTTCGAGTTACTTTTTCAAAATGAAAGCGACGAATTATTGTATACGGTTTGGCCGCTCGTTACGGTCCGCAAGTGGTTAAAGCGTCAATTCTCGAATTCATTCGTGAAACAATTATTCAATGTTCAATTCAGTGTAATGAATTTATAGAGTTTTCATAGCATTTTCCTATAAAAACATTTTTGTGAGAAATAAGCAGAGAACTTGACTGGGTTTAAAGCCCAGATTCCACTGCTACACGGCTTCTCTTGTATCACGACGTTGCGACAGTTATAAATATCGTCAATTGTTCGAACATTGGTGATTTAATTTATTATGACTAACGTGAGCAACGTTGTTTTGTTACAGAGGTGCAAGGAGAAGTTGAACACCCTGGCTATCTCAGTAATGAACCAATGGCCGGGTGTGAAAGTAAGGGTGACAGAAGGTTGGGACGAGGAAGGGAAACACGCGACGGATTCGCTGCATTACGAGGGACGTGCCGTCGACGTGACGACGAGCGATCGGGATCGCTCGAAATACGGGATGCTGGCGAGACTCGCCGTCGAAGCTGGTTTCGACTGGGTCTACTACGAGTCCAGGTCACACATTCACTGTTCTGTCAAATCTGGTCAGTATGTTGTTCCTCATTCTCTGCAATTAAGCTGTATCTGTTAATTGGGAAAGAAGATGCGGGTGCATCGTTGAGAATGTTTACATTTTAATATTGAAATTGTAATTCAAGTTCTTTCTTTCTTTCTTGCCTTGATGTTATAACAATATAATTTCTTAAGACGCGATACGAGTCTAAAATATCCTAGCGTTGTCCTTGATTTCGAGAAATCAGGTGAGTGATTTTTTTTTTTAGAGAAGCACGTCACGTTTGAAGAAAATATGTACAACGTACCGTGTAAAATGCAACGTTTCAAAATTCACGCACCTAGTTGTTAGAATTGGAATAATTTTTGGGGAAGTAGATCAAATTTTTCACATTGAAACTTTTGAATGGAATGGAACACAGTTGATCGAAATACTGCAAATGAGTATTTTACATATTTCGAAATTACACAACTATAAATCTTTTAAATTATTCAATTTTGAAATTTTTAACTCCATTGAATTTAATTTTCAATTCTAGTCTTATTATTAGTGATTTCTATCGCCAAGAAGTAAAATGGTAACTTGACATGTATTTCAAGTCATCTATAACTCAATGACAATCGTAAAACAATAAGCAGATATACATATATTTAGAATATAAGAATAAATTCTACTCGATGATCAGTTGTCTTTAAAAATCTTTCATGAAATTAAGAAATTGCACATAATTTCAATAACAATTGTATAATTATATATAATTTATTATGTATATTTTGCTTTTACTTTCGTCGATTTACTTATGAAAGAGCACCACTGCTACGGAAAAATCTACTTGCGCCATTTGCTTCTAAGAGGAAGTTGCCTGTTTTACCGACTCATATAGATCTTCGGGGGGACGTTGTAGATAAAACGATCGCGAAAGAAGTTCGTTCTATGAACAGAATGAACGGTGAAATGTATCTCGTGTTCGAACAATTTGATTTAATATATTTAGTAGTCCTGAAATATTTTCAATTTTCATTAATGCAAACAGTCCAGAAATCCAGAAACACAACGAAAGGCCCAAAAGTAGAAAACATATAGTAAAAGTAGATCGTAGTTGCAGTTGAATAAAAATCACGTGAAGATGGATCAATTATATGGCTGTTCCGTGTTTCAACGCTTTCGAAAAAAAAAAAAAAAACGCGAAGAATGTTTCGAACCGAGCCTCTCGACCCGAATTTCTCACAATCGACGAACAGAAAAGAGAAGTTGACGAGGAATCGGGGGTGCGGGGGCGCGTTTCGTTGATCGGAGCTCGAGTTTCAAAATAAATGTCGATAAATCTAGGCGAGCCTGTCGGCTCGAATTAAATTCCAACGTAACAGCCGCCGCGAAATCGATACGAGCCGAAAGAACGATATTCGAGAGACCGAGGGAACCGGTCAGTTGAGAGAAAAGGATATCGGCCTGAAGACGCGAGCCACGCGTGTTACGATTTTCGACGCCTTTGCTCCGTCCTTCTATGTTTCCATCGATTTTCCTCGACGATTCTTTGTCTCATTTTCCACTAGACAGATTGTGAAGTATGAAATATTTCTCTCTCGATTGATTTCCTGACCCTGGTGATGGTTCAGAGATTTCAGAAGAGGAAGACGAAGTGAGAGTTGTGGATAAAGTTGAATTTTAACCTGTTAACTATATTTCTTAATTACCAGACTAATGAAGAGTAAAATTTTGTAATAATGAAATAAAAAGAAGAAGTTACTGTCAGTTGTTGTATAATTAAATTGAATTTTCTAGATTAAGTTTCAGAACGAGATTAAAATTTAAAAAAGGAACGAAGCGAGAAACTCTTCAACTTGGAAAATTTGTGAAGGAAAAAAAACATTTCTGTTAATTGTGTAGGTTTTTTTTTTAGCTGTCGTGTAATTATAACGAGAACAACTTCATCCTAGTGAAATTAATTTCAGTTTTTTACTAATTGCTGACTCCACTTTCGAAACAATTTTCTTACGAAATGATTTCGGAGATTTCTCTCTTCTCCTGTGTGAATGAATTTTTCGATCGTTCGAGAGAGAAAGAAGGCGCAGAGGCAACGGAAGTTTCTGGGTGTTAAATTTCCCAAACTTTTAAAAAACTTCCTCTTTATTCGTCGAAAACTCGATCATGTCTTATTGTTAGCCAGTATTTGTTACAATTACAAGAATTACTTATTAATTTACATAAAATTGATGATTTCCTACAATTATTAATTATCAATTATAATTGTAAAAATGACAGAAACAATTTCATTTTGTTTTTCATTACTATAAATAAACAGATTCTATCTCGGGACAATTTTGGATATTTCTCTTGCTAGATTTCAGTATTTTTTTAATTTGGAAGAATTATGAACAACCATGTCATTTTTCAACCAGAATCTTCCATATTTAGGTGACTGAAAAGATAACTTAATTCTACGCAGATCAGTTAGATCAATTCCACTTCTTATCAGTATAAATTCTGATACAATTATTTTTAAAACAATTTTCTCTAACGGATTCTCTCTCTCGAGATAATTTCCTATGGGATGCTTTGTGTGTATTTTTCCTGATAGACTTTTCAGTCCGACGCGATCGAGTTTTCAATTGAGGTCGAAAGGAAAAGGAGGAAAGTATAACGTCGTACAAAGAAAATATAAAAATATGGAACTGTGTATAAATGAATGTAAAAATATAGAAGAAAGATATGCGATACTGTGTGGCACATTGAAATATACGTGTACATACTGCGGATGTAGATAAATAAATAAATCGTGAAACGTTTGACAGGTTTATTCGCACGTTTTCCATCTTGTCATTTCGAGTCCTTTGTTTTCGACAGAAAAATTTATATAAAAACATTCGAGGCTCTGCGCGTTCAGGTATTTTTATATTCCACTAGAGACAGTTTACTAATTGCGAGTAAAATTTAAAAATAAAAGTTGCACGCATTATCGAGCATAAGCATTGATTATTTCTAAATTATTGCAATATAAAGTGCAGTTTAAACGAATCTCTTCAATTTAATCTCAACATGTACAGTCGGTAAATGTTGATAAAAAGAATGAATAAGTATAATGATTGGATAGCTAAAGATTCTATAGAATGACTACAAATATATCTGTACGTCGTTGAAACTTTAGAACGATTGAAATGTATGTTCCCATAAATTTTATGAAGCCTCAGTTGAACTTGAAAGATGCAAAAAAATTAATAGTAGGAAAATATTTATCAAACTCTTTAACGTAATATTTTGTTCACGATCAATTTATCTGATTATAAATTTGTTCTGCAATCAGAAATCGAGACAGTAAATTTACCTCACAAATTTATTTCATAATCAGAAATCAAGATAGTGAAATATCTCCGAACGAATACTACGAAATCTGGTAATATCGGGAATATGGTTTCGCTGATACAGGGGAAAGAAACTTTGTTATCGGAGCCATGTTTGACTCAATATCGGCTATGCTTGCAATTTTCACATTAATCAACTTATCCGATCTCTTCGCGACAATTCACGGAATTCACCATCTTCTGCTTTATCTTTCTCACAGTCTCCCCTAAACTTCCTTCCAATCAGTTGACTCGTTTCTCCAATGACCTATCAACTAATCTTGAACGATCTCGTATCCTTCCCCAAAAGAAATACATTGTTCAATACTTTGCTCAATCACTGCGTACAAAGTTATTCCAAGCGTTCAAAACTAAAAACGTAAGGCCAAAAGGTAAAATTTCGTGTCTTTTTTTATTTTTACAAATATTCCCGTATATTGTGAAGTCCCGAGTCTTAAGGATAATAAATATTTCACCATAAATAGAAATGTGACCTGGGAGATCTTTTATGATCTACCGATGTCTTTATCAGGTAATTTTAATCGGTAATTATATTCATTAGACTGCGAATTTTTGCACATTAAACGGAATTTTAAAATTTGCAAAACTTCCACGGAACGTGTAACGTGAAAGAATACACATTAAGGAATATAATATATCCAAATATAATATTATGAAATGATACGATATGATAAAATGTAATAAAATATAAATATAAATAATATAAAATATAATAAAATAATATAATATTAATTATAAAATAATAATATAATATTACGAAATTAATAGATCCAAAGTGTAATTTTTCTCTGTATAATATTTAGATCTGATATAATCATTTTAGAATAATATTCGCGCAATATTAATAATTTAGAATCAACGTAATATTTGAAGCGTTTAATTTCCTGTTCGAGTGTCCTACTTCTTTTTAATTATATTATTCTCAAAGAATATGAATCCACCGAATCCGATAATGGGGCTTTAATCTTCTTCGGTTAACGATGATGAAAATTTTCATTAATCACGTATCCGTGATTTATTGTCGATCATCGATCGGATCACTTTTCGCCCAACTCTGTCTTCCAAGTAAATTAAAACGAGGCGGCGTTGTGACGATGATTTTTCCGCCGCGAAATGTCGGAATTCGTTCGAATTGGTTCGAGGCCTCGAACCGGAAGGGATCCGGTCCGGCTCGATCATGTAATCGGATCCGTCGACTGCGGTGTCGCGACCAGACGAATCGAACACGGCTGAAAACGCCTCACCGTGAGAAATTCGTGACAATCCTCCCTTGTCGACAACACCGTAACGCCTTCTAACAGCGATTGCTCAACGCGAATAAGACTGTGTTGTCGTCAGACTCGTCGACGACACGTTTCACTTGAATTTAAATTTAAATCTTCCCGCGACAACGCGATCTTTTCGATGAGGATCTCTTCTTATCGTTTGCGATCTCCGTTATTTATTTTTTAGACTGTCAGGAATTTTGCGCGACGCGGAAGTGGGAATGGGAAATAGAATTATATTTGATAAAAGTAACGAGTAACAAATGAAATGATTTATGATAAGGATAGCAGTTTGAATGTAGGATTTAGTAATAGTACCGTATAAGTTTAATTATAATAACTTGCTTTAATTAATTATAATTATACTTTAATATTATTGACTATTATTATTAATATTATAATTAACTCATGTGGTATAGTACCATATAAGTTTAATTATAACGTTACCCCTTATTTTAATATGTATATTAATATTGTGATATTATATATAATTTTAATTGTAGTTGTTTACATCATTACAATTCGAACGTGGTTCTTCATCGGCAATTTATGGCAAATTGAAAGTGGCGAAAATGCACAGCATGTAATATACTTAGAATAAAGATTTTATTAATCAATGTAATGTAATTTCTATTTGTCCAATTTATGGTAGTACATGTAATTGTAATATGATTATAATCACAATATTACATGTGCATACATTATAATGTTACAATAAATTTCGATTATATTTCTTTATGTTACTACATCATCAACATCTCGTGCACTCGCGAGGAATTAGAAGTTACAAAATTACGCGCGCAACTGTAATATCTGATTAATTAAATTATATATAATTATATTATTAATAACGTATAATTTATTAATATATAATTAAAATCATATTATATAAAATATTAATAACATATTATAACATATTATAACATATTATAACATATTATAACATATATAATATGTTATTATATAAAATATTAATATATTAAATAAAATCATATTAAATATAAAATATTTCCTTTTTAAGCGAAGTCTATATTCTAATTCAGGTCCTCTCTAACCAGTTAGAAGACCAAAATCCTGAAAACCCAACAAAACTGACGCACTAACGATTAAAATTAGTTAGAAATTTTACAAATGTCCAACTAACTTCAGCGATCTCTTCTTGCAGAATCCTCATCGACGGTGAAGTCCGGCGGCTGCTTCCCGGGCAGAAGCCTAGTGCGAACGGAGGACGGTTCCACGAAGCGTCTGGATCAAGTGGAGCTCGGCGAGCGAATAGCAGCGGTGGACAATCACGGTGACGTCGTGTACAGCGAGGTGATAGCCTTCCTCGATCGCTCCGTCACCGAGAGGCGACAGTTCGTCCGGTTGGCCACCGAGTCCGGCCGTGTCCTCACCCTGACCCCGGCGCACTTGGTCCCGGTGGAAAATAGATCAACGGTGTTCGCCGGCAGGGTTCGACCAGGCGACAAGATCCTCGTGAGAGATCCAGACGGCGAGAACGAGCTGCGACATCGTCTACGATGGGACAAGGTGGTCGACAGTCGATTGGTACTCGAGGAGGGGATCTACGCGCCATTGACGAGCGAGGGAACGGTGCTGGTTGACGACGTGGTGGCTTCTTGTTACGCGATCGTCGACAACCAGCAGCTGGTCCACCTCGCGTTCCTCCCGTACAGAGTGTGGAGCGGCGTGAAAACGTTCGTCGAGAGGAGGGTCCTCGGCGCGGAGGATCACAGGTACACGGACGTTAGGCAGGACTCGACGACCGAGCAGGAGGGCATACTCTGGTACGCGTCGTTTCTCTACTGGATCTCGTCGTACGTCACCCCTTCGAAGATGGTGTATCAATGAAGCAACCAGCTTCAGGTTCGATCGATCGATCGAGAGAGAGAGAGAAAGAGAGAGAAAGAGAGAGAGAGAGAGAGACTTCTTATGGTGAGACGTCTGTCACGTGAAACGCGTCCGCGAGAGTTCGTGAGCAACGCGTTGGACTCGTACCGCGAGAGAAGACTTCTAGAGGACGAGGATTACGACGAGGATATTATGAATGTGCGTATGTACAGGGGAGTACGAGAGAATTGGATGGATCTGGAGGTGAACTTCGTTTTGGGATACGCGTTGAGTTTGTTGGAGATTTCTTTATACTTAGAATGGATAATGTGGATAAAATAGTTTTCGACGAGTAGAACGAGGTAGAACGGTGTATTTATTGTTGGAGATAGTGATTGAATTAAATACAAGGTGGTTGAAAGAGAGTTTAAAATTTGTATTTGCCCAACTAGAAACTTCTTTATTACTTGGTATTGTTTTGTTAGTTATTATTTTAGTAATTTTATTATTATAACGTATAAATGTCATAATAATAAAAATTATAATAATAACTCACATCGAAATTTTAACATTTAAAAGGAGAAAATTTAACATTTAAAAGATTGTACAATACTTTTGAATTCTGCTCGTCAATAACTAAAGTTGCATCAGAAGAAAAAAAAGAAGAAAGAAAATGAATTTAACGTGTCCTGGAACAAAGTTCAACCGATTTAGAAAAAACGGGATAAAGGAATGAAGAATACTGGACTTGGAGGTGAAACGTCCAAGAGGGCGGAGGAGCCTGTCAATTTCATCAGATTTCATCCGCAATTTTTACTCGATGCTCAGCCGAAGAAGAAACGTGCTCGGATGCGTGGGATCGCGAAGAGGAATGTAATTGAAACGTGACGTTTGTTTTGGCCAGTGACTAATCCCACTTCGTTCAATCGAATAATATGTAGCATATTAGGTATTATTATTATCGAAATGATGGAGAGTCGAGAACGAAGCCTCTTCACTCTTGGTACAGCGTGTGTACAATACGAGTATATAATTAATATAATTATTGTAATTTCCCATTTCCGATTTCTCTATCCCTTGGTCGACGAATCGTACGTGTACTTGCTTTAGTACCCGCGCGTGAATTGTACTGTATTTTTTTTTCTTTTTTTTTCTTTCCGTCGTTGCGACATGGATCTCTCTAACGGAGAGCCCAAGAATTGAAACTTGAGTTGGCGGCGTGATCGTCGATAAATCGTACAGAGAACGATCAAGTGCTTGAACTGAAATTTTATTTGAGCAGAGCAGGATGGACTCGAACGCGTTCGAATGTCGAACGTATTTGGCTGAATTTATCTAATAACGCGTTTCTCTGTTTTCTGTGAAATAGAACGCCTACACACACACACACACACACACACACAGACAGGCAGGCAGGGAGATTGCTCCATTTCTTTTTCTCCTTTTTTTTCTGAATGTTTCGTTTGTGTGAGCGACGAATTGCGCAAAATAATTTGATCTCGCATATTTACGTTTCTCATTCCTTTTTATCTTTCGTTTTAATACTGCACGTTTCACACACTGATCTTACAACGTTCTGTTTGGTATTTCCTTTCCAACATTTCTTAAATTTGTAATTTTTCTTCCATTAAAAGCTGGTCCTGGAAAAAAGAAAAGATTTGGTAAGAAATTAATACGGAATTTTTAAAATTTTTATCATTTATATTTAATTTTCTTCTGGAGAGATAAAAAATTTCGACAAAAGCATTTTAGAAGTGTAAATTTGTATGTAATTATTTCTTTGACTATTATGTAAGTATAAAACATCGCTCATATAGAAATAATATTATTAGCAAGATTTTAAATACATTTTTATTATATCCATTCCGTACATTGAAAAGATAATAGATTATTTATTACCGTTTAACACTTCATTAAAAATGCTATATGAAACGTAAACTCGATATTTATTATGTATATAATAATTCTGAATGAGATGAAACATCACTTACCTCAGGATTTATCGTATACAATCTAACATAATATTATTTAAGAACAAGTTCCACAAGTTTTTTAACACTTCGAACGTTTTAAAAAACAGTTGAACGTGTACTTGAATTAAAAATATTACGTATATATATTATGCGGAGGAAGATAAAATGCGCAATTCTTCGCGAAATTTTAACAAAATAAAAACATCCTCAGCCGAAGCAGAGACTCGTTCGCGTTCGCTGCAAACGTTTTCGTCCATTCTCTCTTAATCTCGGCTCGGTAATTAATTAATTAATTAACTGTCGTTCGTCCAATGCAGCCAACAGTCGAAACGAATTTATTTATAGTTCAATCGTCAATCGATGCTTTCTGTTTCGCGCTTTTTGGTTCCCTACGTATGCGTGTATATATACGTATGTGTGCGTCTGCGTAACTGTACAAGACAACGTGTGTTATACAAGATAGCTGAAGAGAAGAAGATCAAAAGAGGAAGAAGAAGGACAGATTAAGCGTGCTTCGAAAGAAAGAAGACAAATGAAAAGAAGGAGAATCATTGTACATAGTCCGCTATTCGCTATTTTTCTTCCTCTTTTGTAGGATTCCGTGACTACGACTTTCATCTTTCACTTTCTTCCTTTCCTTTTCCTTTCTTTTCTTTTATCACCGTATAGAATTGCTGCGTTTAACGCCATAAATTCATAAACGAGACACACCGAATATTTTTTTCTCTTTTTTTTTTGTTTGTTTCTCTTTCAATGTATAATAATTTTCATTCACAGCGTGAGAAGTATGTCGGATGTTCGATTTTCCTTCTTTCCTTTATTCATGAAGGATCGTCGATTTATCCGTGGCCGGTTAAAGATGATTCATGCTTATTTGTACGCTAGAGAGGTTAACGTTTAAGTTGTCCTTAGAAATTTATATATTATATATTATTTTATTAGACTAATTATTAATATTATTAATATTATTATATTATATTTTATTATTATTATTATTATATTATTATTATTATTATTATTTGTACGTAGCGGAAGAACAAATTATAAATTATGTATATACAGCATCGATAGATTGAATTAAATCATTAAACAGAGCAGATACCAGTGCCTTTTCGTTGTTTCCTCTTTTCTTCTTTTCTTGAGAAATAATTATATGTATAGCGTGCATTGAATTAAATTATTCAAGGTGGCTGAACAGTTAAAGAATACATAGTTTTCGATTTAATTGATTAAATATATCTTCATTAATTATGTGTATTTTTTCTTTCGTTCGAATGTTTCTAGACTTTTATACAGTAAGAGTATTTATACAATTACTTCATACAAAAATTTTATGTTTTTCATTGAAATTAATGAGAATTGAAGATAAAATTAAATAACATCGAAATAAATTCTGCAGAGTTGGTGAGCAACGAAGAAACATCATTTCTTTTTTGTATAATATAAAATAATTTCTATGCAAACGTGAAAAGTTAAAAAAACAGTGAACTACAATCTTACACCTCATCGTTGAAATACTAATTTTGGCATTTGAATTAACTTTGATTTACTGCAGGGCGAATTGGTTTTATTTGAAATATCTGGCACACCACGTGTTCATTATGCATTTATATTGTTCAATATAAATTCGAAACAATATAACAATTACAAAAAAATTGATCACGTAGTTCAAGAAATATTTTATTTTATCGTTATTTTATCTCTGCACTTTATTTTCCGATTTTCGAGTCAAGGGAAAAATACGATTCTGTCGAAATGCGTCCAAATAATATTTTTCAAAAATCTTTGAAACGTTAATTTGAAATTGTATTAATTTAAAAATATGGTTACTTCATTTCAAGGAAAAAGATGGTGGAAATGTAACGAAGTTTGCTAATATCGTTGTTGCTTTGTTCGCGTTCTGTATTTGCACGTCAAACTGTAAGTAATCGACTCGTCTCGCATAAAACGTGACGGATATCGTTTTCTCTGATGTAATTAAAATAGAAACGTGTTCAGAATGTTACCAGAAATGACCGAAGATTTCTTGGAAAAGGTGAGCATTTCTGAATATTAACTCGTAGATGTTGCAACACGTTCTTCAATTATTCAGTCATCCAAGTTCTTACATTATACGTAGCTTTCAATGTGAAATATAATAATATCTATAAATATATCATTACAAAAGATTATTGGTTATTTCTAGCTATTTGCTTCAATTTAAAATCTGAGAACTTTGCTCCGCGATGTTACACTCTTGTAATTATATAATGGTACTAAAGTACTTGAAGTATGACAGTATATAAATGCTATGATCACAAATCCTTTTTGTAGCCTATTTTCTGGAAAAATCAACTCGAAAACGAAAGTTAATACAACAGAAAATTTATAAGAAAACATTGCTAAATGATACGGAATTTAATAAACGTGAAATTGTTACGTATATTAATAATATTATTATATTAATTAGTTAATTATAATATTAATATAGTTAATTATAATATTACGTAAATTGTTAAATTATTACGTGAATTGTTAATTATAATATTATATTATTACATTATACAACATATTATACAATGATAAAGAGTTAACAATTATTCGTTCGATATAATTCCAATTGCATACATTCAATTTCAATATTTTTATTTGCTCTCGTAAATTTTAAAATAAGAATGCAACGACATTAGAAAAATTGAATATCTTGATCGAAAATCCATAAGTTAGTGAACTATCCACTGACAAGTTTATCAATATTTCAGGAATTCGCCGTGATGGTTCCACATCTGCAAGAACTGGAGAAATATTTCTTCGAACTGGTCGCCTATGGGAATGTTCCAGACGTGACAGAGTTTCTCGAAAATAATCCGAACTTCAATGTAAACGCTGTCGATTTTCAGGTAAGATTATCAGTCCAATGTTTCGCTAATTAATCCACTAAATACACCGAGTGATAATACATCATAATAATTGAACACATCGATTTCAATAAATATTTCATAAAATTGTCGAATAGGAAGATGAGAGAGGTACAATGACGACAAAATATCAACAGCGGAACTATCGAAAGTGATCGAAACGATTAATTTATAATCTTTATAGATATAAAAAAAAGTGTTTCCTCGTTTTTTCGAAGAGTCAAATGATTTTTCGTAAAATGTATAAATAAGAACAATGTTGTAAAATTTGGCAACAAGAACGCACGTGGCAAATTGCATTCATGGAAATGGATACTTTCCATTCATATGATTTCCACGAGAACTAGGCGGGCCGATGCCTCGTACTGCAATCGATCGAGGAACAAAAAGTGTTGGAGATGTTCAACAAAAATTTGGTGAAAGGTGCTGAAGAAGCAGGAGAAGAAAAAAGAAAAAAAAGGAAACAGTTTCCCTCTTTAGGAGCTCGTAAAGATGGCCGGATTTATCTGCTATCGCCGCTTTTCCCACAACATAACCGTAAGTGGTGTCGATTCGGTAGAAGACCTTGCCCCTCAGGTAAAACGAACACGCCGAC